AATCTCAATAGGACGCTTTGGAACTAATTTCAAGAATTTCAAAGTTGGCAACCTTCACCTTGCCAATATTGGGCAGGCTCACGTCTGTTCCACCTGAAATTTCATGCTAATAGTTGAATTAATTGAATTTGAATTTGATATTCTAATACTACGAGAAGTTTGCTATTAAACGATATTAAGCTTGCTTGCAAAACGTTTTACTTTTGGAACAAATTTTTCGATTGAAAAAAACGGCCATTACTTATTAGCCAGCCCACTGCTAGTGGGCTGGCTAATAACTGCTAGTGGGCTGGCTAATAAGTAATGGCCGTTTTTTTCAATTGAAAAATTTGTTTCAAAAGTGAAAAGTTTTGCAAGCAAGCTTAACATCGTTTAATAGCAAACTTCTCGTAGTATTAGAATATCAAATTCAAATTCAATTAATTCAACTATTAGCATGAAATTTCTAAAATAGGCAAGTTTGTGCGAAGATGCTAATTTTCGCCGACTTCACTTCCAACTTCAACGACTAAAAAATTCACAAAAACTATATCCTCAACCAAAGCTTTTTTGATATTCTTATACTACGAGAAGTTTCCTATCAGATGATATATAACTTGCTTGCAAAATATTGGGTTGGCACATAAGTACTTTCGTTTTTTTCAACCGGAAATTTCGTTCCAAAGATGAAATGTTTTGCTAGCAAGCTTGATATCATCTGATAGGAAACTTCACGTAGTTTTAGAATATCAAAACGGCTTCGGTTGAGGGAATAATTTTTGTGGATTTTTTAGTCGTTGAAGTTGAAAGCGAAGTCGGCGAAAAATTAGCACCTTCGACAACTGCCTCTATTTACGTATAGTCGAAGTGCTAAAATCGCTTAAGCTGCTCCATACATTTGGAAAAGGTCGAGCTAGAAGTTCCAGCAAGGGAATCTCACTAGGACGCTTTGGAACGAATTTCAAGAATTTTGAAGTTACCAACCTTCACCTCGCCGATATTGGGCAGCTCACGTCTGTTCCACCTGAAATTTTATGCTAATATTTGAATGTTTCGCTGATATGTTTTGCATGTTCTGATAGCAAATTTCGTGCTCTATAACACTGCTATAAAAATCTGTTCTCCAGAGGTGTTTGCTTTCTGTTAAGTTCAGGTTATCATTACGGAACGCGAAGTCGTTGAGAACTAGGGTTCCCGTTTTCCACGAATTTTATGCTAACATTTAGATGTTTCGCTAATGTGTTCTATATGTTCTGATAGCCAATTTTGTGCTCTATAACATAACATAAAACCAGTTTCTCGCGGAGCTGTTTACTTTCGTTAAGGCTCAGGTATTTAGGAACGTGAGGTCGATGAGAATCAGAGTTCCCGACTTCTTCTCTCAACCGCTGTCCACGGAAGCTTCAAAGCTCCTAGAGCAGCTCAATAGAATCGCCATGGTTTGAGTAAGGCTTAGAGTAACAGATTAGTGTTAGGACAGCTCTTAGCGAATTTCCCGAGCAGCATCAGCAGCTCTGATACCTCTGTTGAATGCGAAAAGGAGGAGATGTCTGAAGTGCTGATGCTTATCGACCTGACATTCCATATTATCCACCTGAAAACAAGGTTCATCAAACGGATTTTCAAAATAACTGCAACGCAGTGTTATAGAGCACGAAATTGGCTATCAGAACATATAGAACACATTAGCGAAACATTCAAATGTTAGCATAAAATTCGTGGAGAACGGGAACCGCTAGTTCTCAACGACTTCGCGTTCCGTAATGATAACCTGAACTTAACAGAAAGCAAACACCTCTGGAGAACAGATTTCTATAGCAGTGTTATAGAGCACGAAATTTGCTATCAGAACATGCAAAACATATCAGCGAAACATTCAAATATTAGCATAAAATTTCAGGTGGAACAGACGTGAGCTGCCCAATATCGGCGAGGTGAAGGTTGGTAACTTCAAAATTCTTGAAATTCGTTCCAAAGCGTCCTAGTGAGATTCCCTTGCTGGAACTTCTAGCTCGACCTTTTCCAAATGTATGGAGCAGCTTAAGCGATTTTAGCACTTCGACTATACGTAAATAGAGGCAGTTGTCGAAGGTGCTAATTTTCGCCGACTTCGCTTTCAACTTCAACGACTAAAAAATCCACAAAAATTATTCCCTCAACCGAAGCCGTTTTGATATTCTAAAACTACGTGAAGTTTCCTATCAGATGATATCAAGCTTGCTAGCAAAACATTTCATCTTTGGAACGAAATTTCCGGTTGAAAAAAAAACGAAAGTACTTAAGATGCAACCGCCAATACTTGCTTTTCGCTCCAACAAATTGTTCAAATTGAAAAAAACGGCCATTACTTATCTAGCCAACCTAATATAATGGCGAACGCATCGACTTTTCACCTCACAACCAATAAGCAATTAGAACCTAGTGAAGGGAATCTTGTGAGAACTGACATTCGATGGGATGGTAAGTCCCTCAGGAGTCTCATCCTACACTGCACACAGGGCACGCCATCGTTGTGATAATCACAACGGGGGTCGTATTTGACCGCGAGGGAGGGGTGGGTGGTATTTGGTCTGAGAAAAATTTCTTTGATATTTGATTTATCTTGTTTAACGGACGCTATAAAGAAGGGGATCGTGATTGTCTTTGCGGCGCTGGGAAAAACTTCTCCAGGAAGTTGACTTTTTGCAGTTTTTCCCGTTTCCAGTGGTGTTATTTACCCTCCCCCCCAGAAAGTGATAGAAAAAGATAGGTAGAATGGAATCAAGGGAGGGGGTCGTATTTTGCAGGAGTTGATCACAATGCGATGGCGTGCGCTGACTGCTTATCCCAGCGATGGAGTAGGGGGCGTAGGATAAGTTTTTCGTGGTATATTTGATTTAAAAGTGTTGTCCTTTCTTGTACTGGATAGAGTTAAAGTTGTGCAACTGTTTCTGAGCACCAATACCCCTCTAGAAGCGGACATGGCTCCACGTTTAAATGAATGACGCAGCCTGGACTCTCCTTCTCTGAGATATATACCATTTTCACTTTAAATTCACCCCTTTTCAAACCAAATTCACCCTTTTTCAAACCAAATTCACCCGTTTTCAAACCAAATTCACCCGTTTTCAAACCAAATTCACCCTTTTCAAACCAAATTCACCCACCTTCCAAATCGAATTCACCCACCTTCCAAATCGAATTCACCACACTTATTAGGCTGCGCAAGTCATCTACCAAATCACGCCGGACACTACTGCGGGCCCCGCCCCCTCGGCCACGCCCACTTGCTTTTTGCGGAATTTTGATATTTTTTCAAAATTATTGCATTTTTGGACTGCTGCGTGAAGCCCCGCCCAGTATGAGAGGCTCCGCCCACTTTGGAGAAGCTCCGCCCACTTTTCAAAAATGATGCAAGTCGGCAGTATAAGGTCTTGGCTTTCATGCTAGGGTCTCGTTTGTCACTCGGAACAAACTTTGCCTGATTTTCTTGTTCCGAGTGACGAACGAGACCCTAGCATGAAAGCCAAGACCTTATACTGCCGACTTGCATCATTTTTGAAAAGTGGGCGGAGCTTCTCCAAAGTGGGCGGAGCCTCTCATACTGGGCGGGGCTTCACGCAGCAGTCCAAAAATGCAAAAATTTTGAAAAATATCAAAATTCCGCAAAAAGCAAGTGGGCGTGGCCGAGGGGGCGGGGCCCGCAGTAGTGTCCGGCGTGATTTGGTAGATGACTTGCGCAGCCTAATAAGTGTGGTGAATTTGATTTGGAAGGTGGGCGAATTCGATTTGGAAGGTGGGTGAATTTGGTTTGAAAAAGGGTGAATTTGGTTTGAAAACGGGTGAATTTGGTTTGAAAACGGGTGAATTTGGTTTGAAAACGGGTGAATTTGGTTTGAAAAAGGGTGAATTTGGTTTGAAAAGGGGTGAATTTAAAGTGAAATGGTATATATTATATATACAAGACGCGCTTGAACTTGCCACTGGATTCCTTGGAGCTCTAGGCAGCAGGTCAGACAGGTATTGATTAAATTATTTTATTATTAATTATTATTTTATTTTTTTATAAGAGTTTCGTCCATAGCAAGGCAAAGAGCACACCGTAGGCGTCCTACAGAATTTTTGAATCGCTGGTGTCCAGAAAACTAACTAACTTACCTTTCACGAAGGATCACTAAGATCAGATTTCGCCGCCAAGTATGGTAGATGCCATATTTTGTGCATAAAAGCTATATTTGATAGTATTCTCGTAGAACCTTAGTTGACCTCTGAGGTCGTTGAGGGAAAGAACCGATGACCTAGAGTCAGGAGAACCATTCCAGGCTGAGTGCACTTCAAGGGCTTCAAATGCTTTTCAGGTTTTGTATGACTGTATGCTGGGAGTCCAATGTTTGGCCTCTTTCAAACGGTACTGTATGCTGCACTGAGGACTTCATGATTAGAAGCAGTTCTGCCTTCATAAACACTGGTTGACTGGATCCTTCTTAGATTCGTTTATTCGAACTAGAGGGCGCAGTTCATCTCAGGACGGGAGGGGTAGCACTTTGCCCATTAGATAGTTTGTTTTGCCACCTCTGCTGATCACACGTCTCACCTCTGTAAGACTTGTGGAACTAGGAGTAATTCGAAAACGGAATTCTTGCTGTTATACAACTTTGCAGTAGTTTATAGTACCACACAGGTAGCATCCGCATCAATCGATGGGAATCAGCAAAATGCCCCCACGATATTCGGTACAGAGATGGCGGAATTAACAACAGCTGAAGGTACTTGACGCTCTACTTTTACTGAGGCCGTGCATCAGCTTCTGCACCATGACTTCTTCATTTATCTGGACCAGGATTCTGAAGACCACTTCATACATTAGCCCATTTATTTCAAAAAATTTTCAGCGGGCCAGGTGTTCTTTAGGTGTGTGCCACACCCAACGCTGTTATCATGACCTGCTGTTCCGCACTGTTCCGGCAATCTGAGCTCTTATCGCGCACTGACGTCTTTCACGGGTATAAAATGACAGTCGATGTCAGGGATAATCAGCCAAGATGATTGCTAAGCTCCTTCTTGCCGCCTCCCTCTGTACGTTCTTGCCTATAAATTGTTTCTACCATTACTATATTAATATGAACTTAATGAATAACTTCCTACAACTTTACAGTGTACGCTACTTACGCTGCCGACACATGCATTCACTGCATCTGTCTCCACGAGTCCGGATGCAAAGCGATTGGCTGTGAAATGGACGTCGGATCTCTGTCCTGCGGTTATTACCAGGTTAGCCTGAAGGGACTGCTAACGGTTCTGCTCTGGAATTTCTAAGTCAAACCAAATACTTTTAGATTAAACTGCCCTACTACGAGGATTGCGGCACGCCTGGCCGCAAGAGCGGTGAAGACCTCACGACCGCATGGAAGAGATGCGCCGACGACTACACCTGCTCCACTCAATGCGTCAACGTAAGTTTAGCTCAAAGGCCCAACCGACGTCGACCATATGGGCGGAGTCAGGCCTATCGTTGTGATTTCTTCATTGGCCTTTCCAAAAAGGAGGGTACAAGACACGATGATAGGCCCCTTTGTGGCCATACGAAGGAGCTTGGACTGCTGCCCATCTAACGACCAAGGCCAAACAGGAAGATATCTGCTTTCGTTCCAGGCGCCTACGTCAACCAGCTACAAGGTGGCATGCCCATACACTGGCGATGGGAACTTGCACATGGCTCGTCTTCACAACGGAGGACCATCAGGATGCAAGATTTCTGGCACTGAACAGTACTGGAATGCTATCAAGAAATGCTGCTCATGCACATAAGAAAATGGACTTGAAGTGAGGGCACATAACATCTGCTCCTTTCGCTGTAGATAGTCGACAATAAAATATTTTTAAGCAAAGTTTGATTTTCTGATGGTGAGGTAGCCCCTTTAGTTTTGCTACTATGCATCGACCTAAAACGTTTGAGGTAGATGTTGATCGACATCGAATTACCGTCCGTAAGCGTCGCCCGAGTTTTTCGCATTTGGCTCTAAGCCACTGCAAAAATTGACAGCTATGGAAGATGGCACTACCAGTCCCGCAAAAGTTCCAGATGTTTTAGCTGCGGACGCTGGTTGTGTAAGTGGGATGAAACGAGCGCAGCGCGAGAACAATCCCCACCAACTCCTGAAGCCGGCGAGCGATAACATTCGGTTGCAAATAGTGTACCGCTCCGCGAAACTTAGCCCTGCACGCTCCAGCGGACGGAAACGACATGCTTCGTATGCTGTCAGTTCCTCGCTAGTGGTTCTTAGTCCGTCATGCTCTCGTATGCAAGCTTTTTACGTCAGAGCTCACGCGCCTCAAAACCATTCTCAAACGTATGGATGGGAGGGGGGAAGGATGGCCCCACAGTTGCTGAAGGACGACCATCCCAAAGCGAGGCGTTCGGGAAAAATTGCGCTAAGAAAACCCTCTAATGATCAAATCGAATTGAAGGCAGTTGGCCAGGATAATTGCGAAGACGAGCAGTATTACTGGCAGGACGGGATCCCGCGACCCTGAGCAGACGCTGCGTAGCGCCTTTCCTAAGGAAGGTACCCCTAGAAGGTCCCATCAAGCTACAACATAGCGATAACATAGATACAACATACAACATACGCTTTTTCCGGGGAAGGTACCCCTGGACGACTCGTATTGCTTACTTTGTTGAGTAAAATATGAAGCGAAGGGACTGGTATGAAGCGACTGCGGTGCTGCATGGATATATACGATTAAATTTTCGATGGGCGGTCCCTGCGTCAAAAGTACTGACGGTAGGAAGCTCGATTCCTGTATATCTTGAGATTTGATGAACACTTTGGAGCTTGCGTGAACAAGACCAGAACTCGAGTTCCGGTGCGACGTATGCCTCGCCGGAGGGTAGCAGTTTTGAGTTTAATATAAAACGAAATACGTTAAAGGCAATTGGCATGATTATTTGGTACTCGGCCTAGAATGCTTGCAGGGCGCGTAGTGGGAAAATGGCGAAAAAACGAAGGTGAAACCGGTCGAAGAACCTCGACAGAAAAGCCTTCCTTAATGCTAAAAGCAGCGATTTTGGGCGAAGTTTTCCAACGGCACTTGCCGAAACCGCTGCCAAGAGCTACAGCTGCACGTACGTGCTCATGAGATCCATGTAAAAGGGCGCGCCCAGCCGCTTCATATCAATCACTTCTGCTATCACATTTCACTCAGCGTGAAGCCAACGCGAGCGCACCAGGGCACTGGTCTTCGATTGTGGCGGGCGGGCGTGGTGGGTGTTCAGGCCGGCATATTGTAGCTTAATAGGGCCCTTATAAAGATACCTTCTTTGGAAAAGGCGCTACGCAGCGCCTGCTCGAGCGAGCGCAGGCATCTCTTCCGTTGCCGGGTATCAAATCGTATTCGTCCATAGGGAATCATGCGTGGGCGAGTGCCTTTTAACCCATTGCATACGCGGCTGCTGCACTGCGAGCTCCACTGAAATTTGCCGATATAGTTAAACTCAACAATTGTGTAAACATGTTTTACGTCCCATTCCCCAACAATTTCTGAATTGCAGAGCCTTTGTAATGGCCGCATTCTTTGTCCCGCCATCAATTTTATCGTCGGCTAACCGTATTCAATTTTTTTTGATACTCACTGCATGCAACGAGTAATGTATACTATGAAGTAAATACAGTATTGACAACTTATGTCATATTTACATGATAAAAATTGCATTTGTTTATACTCGGCGCGCCAGGAGTCGCGTCGACAAAAAGGAGTCGGCCACAGGCGCCCGCTTCGCGAAACCCGGCGGTACGCAATGCGTTAACATAACTGTGATATCCAATCTCATAGAGCTACTAGACCTGTCGATGTTTCTGAGTGACCAGTTGGTAACGTTATTGATTCCATAGTGCGCTGAAAGGCAATGATGAAGCACATACACGTTATTCCTCCTATTCTCTCTGTCACGAAATCCTTTCGTGCCACTGTACTTGCCTTCAGTGCCCCGTTCTTGGTGGTCTGAGAATCCTCATCATTGTCATCTGTAAGGTGATCCTGCTGTTACACTTGGTCGGAAGGCACGCGAAGGGGCTGGAGGGTGGATATAAAAAGGGTATCGTTTCCCGAGTCCACCCGCGCCGCTACACTTCGGTTACTGTCATACATAGCCGAACGCGCTACATGTCTACGAGTGCTGCACTACCCCCAGCCCCGTGTCAGTGCACTTTTGAGCAGGTAGAGTGGCACGCTACGGCAGCTGCGGACCCCTTCACCTCGCGCACAAGATGGGTCGCCTTTGAAGGTGCTGCACGGCTTCTTCTAAAGTCACATTTTACAATTGCTGTTCGTTGGCAGTGGAGTGCAAAAGCAAAAATTTTGTTCTCTGATGTACTTCTATGACCGGGACCACGATGTCAGAACGATTTTGTCGGGCTTATCACCTTTCGTTTGCCTTATCACCTTCGTCAAGCCTGGAAGGTCAACGATCAGTGTGAACTTCCAGCGAATTCAAGCTGTTCATCTAGAAACAGCTTTTGCTAAACTAGAAGCGTCTGAAAACTCGTAACAGATCACAATGACAATACGATTCACGTTAAATGCATGATATGCGTGGCTTAGCCACAATCTCGAAGCCGAAGGCGACTGAAACCCACACAGGTAGTTTTGTGTTCATCTAGGAACTTCGAGGCCATATTCAAAAGGCTT